TCAAGAGCCGGGGATATTCAAAATTTGAATTTCAGAACCAATCAAGAGCCAGGAATAATCAAAATTTTAATTTCAAACCAAATCAAGAATGGGGAAAATTCAAAAATTGACTTTGGAAGCGAATCAAGAGCCAAGAATATTTGAAATTTGAATTTCTAAACCAATCAAGAGCCGGAAATATTCAAAATTTGAAGCCAATCAAGAGCCGGGTATAATCAAAAATTCAGTTTCTAAACCAATCATGAGCCGGGAATGGTTAATATTTGAATTTTAAACCCAATTAAGAGTTGAGAAAATTCAAAAACTGGCTTTGGAAGCCAATCAAGAGCCGAGAATGATTAAAAATTGAATTTCTAAACCAATCAAAAGCCAGGAAAATTCAAAAATAAGCCTATCAAAAACCAGGAATAATCAAAATTCAAATTGCCAAACCAATCAAAAGCCGGGAAAATGTAAAATTCGAATTCCAAACCCGACAGGAAACTAAATTTTTTTACCAAATGTTGCTACAAACGAATTCAATACATTTTCATATAGCAAGTGTTGCTACATGTTGCTACAAAATCTCACCCTGAAAACCCACTGAAAGGAACTACCCCCAAAACCACTTGTTGCTACACTTTCGCTCGTGTTGCTACGCTTTCGATCATGTTGCTACACTTTTTCTTTTTACAAATGTTGCTACATAAGTTCATTGAAATCTTGCTTTAAACCTATTAAAAACTACTCCCAATGATTGTGTTGCTACACTTTTTATTTCGTATTGCTACATAAGAAATTCAACAAACTCTTGTCCTAAGCAAAAACTATCACACAAATGACTTATCCTACACAAAAACGAGTGTTGCTATAGACGTGTTGCTAAATTTTTTTTCTTGCGACATATATTGATCTTGTGCTGCTACACAAATGAAGTGTTGCTACGCTACACCCGTAACTCCTTAACTACTCGTCCGATTTCGACGATTCTTGCACCAAATTGAAGCTGATCGATTTACCTCTGACTCGGTGAGATCGATGAGACTGCTCTTAACCTCGGTGAGGTTCTCCGAGAACCGTTTCTCCTCCTCGTCGATACCCTCGTCCTTGTACACCTTGACCTCATCGGTGCTACCGAGATCATCGCCGCCGCCGGACGAGACGTGTGGCATGATTTACTTGACAAAGCGGAACGGCGGCATCTCTTACGTTGCGTTTCCGGTTGACGCACATAAATCTAATGTGCGCATGCTTAAGACTTATGTTACGTCTTTACGGTTATACGTTACGTCCATTGTAAAATGAGCTTAACAAGGAGATCTCTCAATAGTGTCAAATGATTGAGATACGTTTCCGAATACGGATAGGAGGCTAGACCCGTAATGATACCGACAACGCAACGCAACGAAACCACCGTATCTATTCTGCACATGCGCAGATCGATGCGGATACAGATACGTTTGAAATTCAGGACCTGCTTAAAGTGTCTATTATGGCAATTTACGAAAACGTAACGCAACGTAAGGCAACTCAATGTACCCGGACTTCAATTAGTGAGAAAATTAGGTTCAAAATTCCCTTAGGGCGAAGACAAAAATTAAATTCTTCAAGAAAAACCCTTTTCTCGGAACAACCAAATCGTAAAAGAAAGAAGCACCACATGAAATTAATTATGCAATCTATTTCAATATGGCCGTTCAGGTCAAATTGTGGTGACGTTCATAAGAAAAAGCATTTTTGTTCTGGGCCCTTATTGTTGTAGATGCCAAACATGACAATATGACAATGACAGTAACCTAAATGTAAACAACACGGTGTCTGACCGAACTTCCATATTGAATTTCGTTTGACAGGTCATGAGATTGCCTAATTAGCTGCCCTAAAGGTAGAGTAGAGATCCTTTAGGAAAAGTATCGACAAATGTCAAAAAGAAATCAAAGAGAATTGTGAGTACCGAGAATTATACACAACAATAATCTGAGAAAAATGACAACAGCTGACAACTAATGATATCGACAAGTAACTAGTCTGGCACACAAATCATGAGTGACATGACTTAAGTGACACTATAAAATAGAGAGCAACGTGGTTTATGGAACCGGATTCCGGAACTAAATCTGGTACCTGCTAAGTTCAGCAACCGAACAGAGTACGTGCAGCGTGCAGTACACACTTCGTGAACGAATCACTAAATATTTGGGAAACTTAACCCAAGAATAATAAATATTTGATTTGTTTGCATGAAAATTTTATTGAAAAATGGAAATAAAATATTGATTATAATCGAGGAGAATCATTTGTCGTCAACAAGAACTTTACAAGTGAAAATAGAATTCAAATACTGAAGATTAGAAAATTTACATTTTCTGCTACCTACTGTAATTATTGTTGAATTTTTACAAAGGAAAAAAAACAATTAAACAAAGCCTAATAAAATCAGGGAAAAATTGTGGAATAGTTAAAGGCAATTTTGGCACGTTACAGGTTGCGATATCCGCAACATCGGAGTACCGTACAGCGCTGCCGCATACCGCAATGCCGGATAGTTAAAAATCCTACCTTAAGACGTCTACATCTTGGATTATCTGTTTTGGATGTGTCAATATAAATTCTATTTCGTTTTTTGTCTTTGCATCCAGACTTGCCCATGTTAGGTCTCTTTTTGGAAAATGTGTTCATCGCAAAGAGTTGCTCTCTTTCTAAAAAGTTGACTAGCATGTTGCCTCTTTCATTTCTTGTACCATGTCCGAATTTGCCAATGTAACATGAGTCACTATCATCTTGGCCTTTGAATCTCCCAGAACTAGTGTGAATTGTTCTCATGAAGACACAGAAGAGAATATTTGAATGCAGTAACTTTTGTGTCCTCAACTCCCAATACGTAATATCAATCAGAGCTGGGCAAAGCCCTCAGTAAAAGGGCTTGAAGCACTAAGTCCTAAGCCCTCTATCAAAGTGCTTCAATTTCAAGCACAAATTCCTTTTTATTTTCAAAAGTGCTTCACAAGCACAAAGCCCTCAAAGTGCTTTGGGCTTGACAAGCACAAAGCCCTCAAAGTGATTTGAAAAGTGCTTGAAGCACATCAAAAGCACTTGGGGTTCCTTGAAAAGGGCTTCAAGCTCTTTAAATGTGCTTGAAGCTCTTTAAATGTGCCTAAAGCACTTTGAATTTGTAATAAAATTCTCAAAGTGGCATAAGCTACCTCGTACACTCATCACACAGAATTGGTATAGTAGAGACGAACTTTACATTTCACAGAGTAACAGTAGTATGTTTTTTTTTGAGATGTAGCAAGAGAAAACGAGTTCCCGCCAGGGTTTCTAACCTTTTTCGTTTTCTCCTTTCAAGTTCAAAATTTTTTCGTTTTTGTATGTGTTGTGTCTTTTCTCATTAAAATTAATGTGGATTATTTGATGAAATTATCTTAAATACGATAACATAATCATAATCCAAGAAGACATAGGAAATGCTGCAGAAGCAAAAGAAATAGGATGGGATGTTTTGCCTCAAAGAATTCCTTTTCCCCTGACCAGCAATTCGTGAAATTTTTTAGAGTAAGCAAAAATGTATGCCACGAAATAGTGGATATGGTTACTCCGTATGTTAACGCTCCAACGCGAGTCTGGGCTTTAACCAAAACTAGAAAGGTATGCATTGAACACTCCAGAAGTTGATGAACCACACGACGTTCAAGAACAGGAATATGGCATTTTTGCTGCGGAAAATTATGCGGAATATTTCCCTCATGCATAAAAAATCACATAAGAGGAATGCAATTATCGAAAACTTACTGTGATGATGTTCATAGGGTTGTTAAAAATAAGAAATAAATTATCAAACCCAAATGCCTTTCAGCTTTCAAAGTTTGGGAAAATAGACAATAATAAACATCAAACGTGGGGTTAGATTACTTCCTCTTCATTTTTTTTCGCTTGAAAACACGTTTTGGTTAAATCGATTGACACTCGCATAGGCGGTCTTCTGGGAATGCTCCCGGGAACACTCCCTTCCCGGGCAGTCAAGAATACGGGGCCGGTACTTGGGGTACTACATGGTTATTCAATTTTAAGGTTTTCAAAATGTTCAATGGGGAAAAGTGGAAAAAATCCAGTGATAAAGTTAAATAGGGTACCAATATAAATTAATTATTTATTTGAATAATAAGTTGATTCATTTTTTTTTTTCGATTCTAAGCTCAAACCCATAACCTCCATTGTTAAGAGAGAAAAGACATAAGACGGTTCAAGTTCAAATAATAGAAAAAAAAATTAAGGGACAAAACAGGATCGAAAATTTTTAAGTGGGGGATAGGTGGAATGATGGTCAATTCAAATTCCTTTCAAAGTGCTTCAAGCCCTTTTAAAGTGCTTCAAGCCCTTTCAAAGTGCTTCAAGCTCCCAAAAGTGCTTCAAGCCCTCTTAAAGTGCTTCAAGCCCTCTTAAAGTGCTTCAAGCCCTTTCACAGGGCTTCAAGCTCCCAAAAGTGCTTCAAGCCCTCTAAAAGTAATTGAAGCTCATTGAAAGGGCTTGAATTACTTTTTTCAATTACAAATTACCAAGCACTTTTCTAAAGTAATTGACTTTGCAAGCCCCAATTACAAATCTATAAAAGGGCTTGAAGCACAGGGCTTCCAAGCCCCCAAAGTGCTTCAAGCACTTTCGCAAGCACAAAGCACTCAAGCCCTGCCCAGCTCTGATATCAATGGTCGCATTCACCAGATACCTACCAGTTAGTAAAACGCTTTACGATTGTTCAACTGAGCGCTACGTTGGATTTATGTTGAAACCAAACATGTTTTGCAAACGGTCGTAATTTTTTCAAGCATAAATAGTGTTTATAATTTGACGTTCTATCATTTTGAAGAAGTTGAATAGTTCAGCAGAACCAAGAGTTTACCCAACGTATTCTGTTGGTATTTGTAAACTGTGTACAACCCGATTTGGTTCTGGTGGACGCAGCCATTATCCTTTCTATAGAAACAAGTTTGCCCTTCAAGTGTATGTGTTTCTATTTCTTTCAGAAGCTACATGGACAAAAGAAACAGCGCCTGTTCTAAACAAACAAACCAATTATTTATTTTATTTAAAGTTTATTTGGAATTATTTTTAAGTTGTTTATTAGAATACCTTTAAGAATATTATTATTTTATACTTACTTCTGTTGATCAAAAAAAAAAAAACAATACTCATTTATGTTCAATTAAAATTTATTCTATAAAATATTTGCTATTTAACAAGTTGTCAGACAAGCCGTTTTCTACCAATAAGTGAATTAGAAATAAATTGCTTTTTCCAATTAAGGTAGCTTTTTATTGATTTCCTATTTGTTAAACTTATACTAGACATTGCCCAACAACAAACGGAATCATCTCAAGGAAATAGACTTGTTTTCCTCAATTTTATGGTACCAGAACTACACAATGAACGGTTACAAGAGTACCTATATACAAATTAAGTACAAGTTTTTACATCATAGTAGTAATTTCCACCTTATACATCTAATTACAAATCCACCTACACGAAGTACCAAGGTAATAAATCAGTCAATAAAATGTGCCCCTTTATTATCGTACAACCATTTTAATCGATTTTCACTTTCAGATTGCATTGTGCTCGCTTTTTTTTTCCAAATGAAATTGCAATACGTGACATAATCATCATAGTAACTTTATTTGCTCAATACATGTATAGTCCTAGATCTAGATGATGCTATAATCAGAACAGCAAAAGTTTACAATCTAGTTATACCTATAAATTACTGACAATTTTTTGATTTGATTGTTTTTCAATAATTAATTTATCCTAAAATGGCTTATTATTTCTGAGGACGGCTTGCTTGATCATCTTGTGCTTCTCACAGGTACCCCACCAAGAAGACCTCAAGCATTTTTTCTTCGGCTTGAGAACAAAACATTTCGTTTGGACTACGTTGAAGAACAATTTTCCTACTAAATTAGCGTCACTGGTTCCTACCATTTTCAAACAAGCTCGAAACCTGAAACAATAAATTATTGTATTACGGTGTGATATACGGAATCGTAAAATAGATAAATGTCGGACACATTTTTGCCATAGGTTTTCGGCCCATAAATAGCCAGAGGACAGGGAATATCGAACACACTCTAGTGCTAACTGCTGCCGCAGACCAAGAGGGTCGTTAAATGACGATTTTATTATACTCAGTCTCGAGATGGTAAAATATACGATCCTGTAGCTGCAGATTTTTTAATAGTTGCTGGCAGTTGCAAGATTCTGCTACAGTTAAAATATGACCTGTTTTAAGGACATTTTAGAACTAAAACAAACAAGATGATGGATGAATTGCATCTGATTTGGATCTGCTTGAAAACTTACTTTCTTAGCTCGTACTTACATATGTACTTCGTTTTAGGTGAATTTTCCACAATTTCAATTAAAATATTGTCGGACCTGGGGGTAATGAGGGGGTGAGAATCAAAACTAGAGTCAAGTACAAAAATAGGAAATTGTATTTAAAATAAAGCTTACCACAAATACATTTCAGACATGGGCACGAGCACTCATAATTATCAGAGGACTAAAAGGCACTATTATTACTAACTAACGCGGATCATTCTCGGTTTGTAGATTATACCCTTTCATCTTCCAAAAACCATTAATTTATATTAATAACGCGACCATGATGCGTGATCACTGATTATAATAATTACCGGTGAACTGTCATTGACATTGACCTTCCATTAATTAAGGTTCCTCATGTAAATTGACAATCCGTTCAACTTGTAACCTAATGTTATTTGAACGTGACGTGATCAATGATTTTCCCGAAACCTATGAACCTTTTTTGGAAGACGATTGGGTTTAATTAAACGAAAGGAGATGCCCTATTATCCTAGATACGAGAATCAGTGTTGCCAGAGGTGGTACAATTGTACCAGGTTTGGTACCATTCGTTTTGCGAAACTACGCTAATACGACTTTGGCATATTTGGTACAATTTTCAATTTTTTTATTTTTGCCTACTTAGTCTAATGTCGATATTCTAATTAACTTGTATTTCTGTATCAAAATTCGATATAACAATAATTTTTGATTCGTAAATAGATGACGTCACCAATGTAACACTCGTTTTGTGGTTTTTGGTTGACGTAGTTTGTGTTTAGTTTAGGTTTTCGGCAGAAAATAAAGAAAACTCAAAGCCTCGTACTTTAAATTGGTTTTTCTGATCGGAAAAGCGGAAAATCCAAAAAAAAAAAAAACATCGAAAAATGACATTTCAACTTACCCCGTTGAAAAACTCAAAATTTTTGATACAAAATGAAGGAAACTCAAAGCCTCGTACTTTAAATCGATTTTCCCGATCAAAAACAGCCCGGAAAAGTGGAAAATTCGAGGAAAAACTGGATAAAAATGTAAACACGTCAAATAAATATGGCCGACTGTCAAAAATGACAAATGATATTTATTACAAGGCCTGCCTCCTTGATTGAAGTTAGCGACAAGCGGTGTTGCCACATCAAAAGCATTTTAAATGGAATTTTGCTAATTATGGCATTTAAAAGTGGAAATTTTGGCTAGAAAATGAAGAAAACTAAAAGCCTCGTATGTTAAATCATTTTTTTCCAATAAAAATCCCCGGAAAAGTCGAAAATTCGAGGAAAGTCTGGCAAAAAAATCACAAGACGTCACTTCAAAATGGCCAACTAAAAGCAACATTGTCACATTACATCTCGGAAAACAAAAATTACATTTTAAATAAGTTTTCTGTTTAAAATTCAATTAAAAATTGTTAAATAATTAATAAATAATAATTATAATAATTAAAATTCCCTTGATAAAGCATCGAAAACTTGTTTGTAGTTCAATTTCAAAGAAAATGACATTACAAGGTTTAGTTGTTGATTATAGTGAGTAAGACAAAGACAACGATAAAGTAGTATATGTTTGCAAAAACCACCGTTTTCTGAAAAAAAGTAAAAATCTTAAAAAAACCCAATAGAAAACCAACATTCCAAAATCAACTTGATAAAACTAAAGTTTTTGAATATTCCCGGCTCTTTGATTGGGCGCTAAAAATCGCATTTTGAATATTCCCGGTTTTTGATTGGCTCCAAATTATCCGCTGACCAATAGAATTATAAAATGGGCCCCGTGATTAAAATAACTCCGGCCCTTCGGGCTCTCGTATAACTCCGGCCCTTCGGGCTCGCGTATAACTCCGGCTTTTCGGGCCCGCGTATAACTCCGGCCCTTCGGGCTCGCATATAATTAACAGTTTTCCCGATCGAAACCGGCCTGAAAAAGTGGAAAATTCGGGGTGAAATTGGATAAAAAAATTCGAAAATGGCCGACTGTCTAAAATGCCAAATAACATTACATTACAAGACCTACTTGATCAAAAGCCACGTTGCCATAATTACAATCTCAAACATAATGTTTTTCCAGATTTTAGTGGGTAAAACAAAGAAGAAGATAAGGTAGGATACATTAGTAAAAAACCAAAAGCGATAATGAATGAGTAAGATAAAGAGCGAGATAAAGTAGGAAACAAAATGATCAGTTGGTCGAGCCAAACGATCATCAGAGTAAATTTTCGATTGTTTCCGGTTCAAACACTTGGAATAATTACTCAATTTTTTTTTTGACAACTGACAAGCCTACATACAATATTATGACTTTTGACAATTGACGAGTTAATTTTCAGGACCATCTACGATTGTTATGACTTTTTTTGTCAATTGACAGCCTTGTGATTCAGATTGAGGCCTATAACAGCAACGTTGCCACATTTTAACGGTAATTTTGGAGCATTTGTAATTGTAAATACAGTGGCGTAACTAAGGGCCCGCAGGCGACATTTTGGGGCACCCCCGACATTTTGGGGGACCCAGAAGCCAAAAATAGTTTCTTTTTTAAATACTTCTACTTCCGAATCAGAGTCTATTGCTACGAGTTACTCCATTTAATCCTAAATTAAACATGTGGAACTTAACTTAGATCTAGTTTAACTGAAGAAATCTCTGTATTTTGGTTTCTTATTTTTAAACGAGTTTTTGAACAACTGAAAATAAAAGCGTTGTTTTATTCTACTACACCTAAAAAAAATGAACACCATTGTGAACTACTGGGAATCCACATACGTCGGAATAAGGACTGACGGTTCCAGTCTTTCAAATTTCCATTTAGAATATATATGAAAGACTCCAATCCCATCTTCCTAGAACTAATAATTCCTTGTTGGAGGCTTAGCATAATGCTTTCCAACAAATTGTAAATTGTCACCATTTATCGCTGGAAAGATTTCTAGATAAATTGAAGCAGGAGCAATTGGAGCAAAGCAACAGTGAAATATTTTTAACAAGATATAGGTCCGGTTTCAGAGCAACAGAATGTGCAATAAATATTTCCAAGCAAATCAGTGGCTATTATGTAAATGCATAAGTATATTATTATACAGGGTGTCCCACGACGTTTTACGCAGGTGATAACTTCGGAACGCGTCATCCAATATAAGGTGGGTTCGGCTTGCTCACTCCGTGCACTCCGAGTGACTTGATTCGCACTCCAGCCGTTCGGGTATTGCTTTTTACCGTATTAGGGGTGACTCCAGTAGCTCTGTTCTTACTCCACTCCAACTCCGCGCTGAATAGCCGAACCCAGCTATAATTGAAATTTCGAGGATCTGGGTAACTTTTTGTGCTGCTTCTTCATGTGTCATTCAATTTCACTATTATCACTTCAGTTTCGGTCAAGTGATGGCAAATTCAGAATCTTAAATGTAACTTATCGTACATTATGATGGCATTTTTCGTTAGAAAATTGAATTACATAATTGGTAATGCCATATTTGTTAATACTTTGTTAAAGAAAATGATAAAAAAATCCAAAGTGGAAGATTCGATGATTTGTTCCGTAGTTATCACCTGGGTAAAACCTCGTGGGACACCCTGTATATACTTATATATTTATTTTAGAATACAATTTATTTGTTCATATACATATGCATGCAAGATGGGCCCCGAGAAAATATTTGCGGGGGGGGCTCGGATTTGAAGTTACGCCACTGTGTAAATGTAAAACGTTGACAAGTGTGGCAATTGACATCAAGAAACGATTGTTATGATGTTGTAGGCTGCTTGAAATTTTCAACTTTTGGTAACACTGTAACGCTAGAGGATTGAAATCGCGTTTTTTTTTAATCATGAGCCCGAAGGGCGAGAGTGTTTTCAATCTTGAGCCCACAGGGCAATAAAGCCATTTTGTATCGAGTTTTAAAGAAAACAAGGCCTACTCTGAAACGTCAATTTTTTAACGTTTGTTGTATCATAAGCAGCATTGACATATGTTTTTTTCAAATCTCCAGCCTGAATGGCCGGTGTTGTTTTAATTGCGTTACGAGTCCGAAGGGCCGAGGTTATAAGAGCCCCAAGGACCGGAGTTATATGAGTCCGTTCATTGTCAAATGATTTTAGTACCTATTATGATTATTACAGGTCTCTGATGCCCTTAGATGTTCTGGGCCGCACGCCAGCTACACTGGAGGAATCAGCGTGTCCTCCCTGGCCGAGTGGCCGGATAACCCGTTCTGGTACAATTTTTCTTTAATTTTGGTACGAAAAATTTTTGCTCTCTGGCAACACTGACGACAATGTGCCTTTTTTGAACGATTTTCTCCATGGACTTTACAAAACAACCAATAAGATGAGATAAAAAAAAAACACACATATACAAAACATTAATTGTACCCTCTTGGCGAAACATTATAAATCACATTTCGGGCTTCGAATATTTCACTATACCTATATAACATCCAGCCTGTGTTTGTTTCAGCCCCCAATGCCGCAAAATTTATCGGCCGAATATTAAATCGAATGCATAAATTTCAATCTGGTGTTCCTCTCATAAAGAAGTGTTGTGATTTTTGTTTTGTTTTTTAAACCCAAAACTCTCGCTATCTTTATAATATTATAACTATTTTATTACGAGCTATAATGTCACGTTTAGCACCATAATAAA